TTAAAAATAAAATTAAAGTGTATAGAAATGTGAACATGAGAAGTGGGACGAGGGAGTTTGAACCCACCACCGAACAACTCTATATATTATGTAATAATAATAATTATTATAATAATATAATAAATAAATAAATAAATAAAATATGAACAAGAATCTGTCTGAAGAGACTCCGCCCCATTCGACATGTGAAATATCACCATTTGAAATACACCCTTCTTCCTTTCATTAATAATTAATAATTAAATAAATAATACCAATATTGTATAACAAAATAAAATTAAATGGTTAAATTGCAATTTTCAAAAGTCTTCCTCAAAAAATGAAATTGGAGGAACACTGCAGTTTCCATATATCGAGTATTCTTCCATATATGAAGATGGTTGGAGTTGCTCTTATAGCATATAAGTAAAAACAATATAATACACAACATCATACAAATTATTGGGGTTGTACTTTACTGCCGTTTAGGATGTGGTTGAAAAAATTTGATTGAAATGAGATATTGTTTGATTAATGATATAATATTTGTTGGATTTGGCCTTAAAAGAGAATTGATAGACGGTTCTTTTTTTTTATTCATGTATTTGATTTTTTTATTATTTTAGTGTAATAACGGTAAATTGTATATGTTTAGTTCTACAATTGCAAAATTTGGCAGAAATAACCCTACCGAATCATCACACTGTCGTTGCATAGGCTTGTTGGTGCTTATTTGACGCTAATGTAATTGATCCGTCAACGCTATGCCTGTAAGATGTGATCTTGTGTTACTTATTAATAAATGTTTTAAATATAATAAAAATAATAATAATAATAATAATAATAATAATAATTATTATTATTATTATTATTATTATTATTATTAATTGTTCTTGGTCTAGTTAAATTAAAAGTGGTTTAAAATCATATTACCATCATCGTGGGATAATGATTTTTTAACATTAGGATTATGGTCCTCCCTCTACCTATAAAAATGTCAGAATAAATTTATTTTATCTTAGTAACCAAAAGATCCAACTACCGTCCTAACCAGAGGATCGTCCTGCTTATGAGAATAAGTTCGAACCAAGGTCAGTATACATGCATATATATTTAATAGCGGTAGTGCGGTGGCCGGAAAATGACTAGATCAATGGATAGCTTAATAGCGGTGTTGATCATAAAATGATGAAGTGGTGCAACAATAGTGGCAAATGATTGATGAAAAAAGTGATACAACAAGTAGTAAAAATAGTGACAAATAACTTATTATTTGTTAATGTGAGAGTAATTTTCCTTTTAAAAAAATTATCAAACTATTTATCACTCTCTCCGTTCTAGTAAAAATGCCCACATTGCGGTAAATATGAACATTTATGAAAAGTATAATTAGTGAGTAATTTTAAAATATATTATTAATAATTATTGTATAATAAAAATAATTATAAATTAATATTAAGATAATTAAATAATTTAATTATGATTGAGAAAATAATGAAATTTAAAATGCAATTAAAATGTATAATACGTTTTGGAGACAAATTATGTGGGAATGTCAACAACGAAAAAATAGACATTTGATGTGAAACAAATATGAAGTATAAATTAAATGTGCATAAATATAGTCGAATAATTAAAAAATAATGACACAATTTGGACGGAGATGATATCAAAATTTTCGAACATATTCATGTAAACCGAGCTTTAATGTAATACTCTCTCTACCCCGGGTAAGATGATCATTTTGGTTATGGATACAATATTTTAGATAGTATAATTTAATAGGTTAATTATAGTAGTTATAATATTATTTTTATTAATTTTTATATAAGTGATGTTATTATTCTCAATATAAAAAATACTACCTCCGGCCAAATAAAATAGTAATATTTGCTTTTTGCTCTTAGACTTTTTAATACTCGTATTATACTGGTTTGCAGTGAAAAAGACAAAATACCTCTATCAGTATTGTGTAATAAAAAAATAATAATATTTGTGTACGACTCAGATCCGGTGCTGATTAACTAATTTCAGCATTGTTGAAATTAATCTCCACCATTAATTGTATTTAATATTTAATGGTGGAGATTTAATTGAAGGGTAATAATGTAATTTTATAATAAATCATATATTATACTAACAGCTTCTAATCGCTTTCAATTCGCAGAACTAGCAACAGTCATACGCGCAGACTGAAATGCTGAAGAAGAAGAGATCTTCGACGCTGATGAACTGTGATTGCATTTTGCCTTGTCAATAAAGCTTCACTTGAAGATTTCCCTGTATTATTTCATCTTCCTTTTCTTAGAGTTTCTATTTCTACCCTAATTTTTTCCATTGCAAATTACATTTCAATTTCACTAATATGTTGTAATATCTAGGTAGCTGCAATGTAACTTGTTTTTCATATCTTTTTAATCCTTATAGTATTCGAGTTCAATGCAATTCACGATAAAATATTGATTGAATTATACAGCTCAAATAAATAAATTACGGTAAATTATATACATAAATTTGGGGAAAAGGAAGGCAAGGCAAGGCAGGTAAGAGATTAATTGAATACATGTGTGTTGGGGTTTAGGATTGGAGGTTGAGGAGAGGTTTAATTTGAATGGCAAAAAAGAAGATTTGTTGGTGAGCTCATGAAATTGGTTATGACGATTGGGGATGATCTCTGTCTGCTTGCTGTCATGGCCCCCAAATAAATGGAATTTGAATGTTGATTTATAGCTAATAGTTCTTCTATCTAAATTTTACATATTTGTGCACAAATAAGAAAATTTTAATATCAATATTGGTGACTTGTGTTGACAGGCAAAACCACAATTAATTCGCATGGATGAATTTCAATGTAAGGATGGACTTCCAATGCATCATATGATGAAGTTTCAGGTGAATCAATAGATGGAACACAAATTACACATCTCAAGATCAATGATGGTATTATCTATCTAAATGTTACATATTTTTGTTAATTGTTGCTTTGAGTTTGTTACTCAGATACTCAAACTATCTTATATTATTACTTAAAGTTTGTTATTATTACTTAAACTTATGTAATATGATTATAAAGGTTCATATTTGTGGCTTCTATTTGTTATGTGAGATTTAAAGTTTGTTATTTACAAATTTTATTTTGTTATTTGGCATACAATATTTGTTGGTTGGTTTGTTATGCATGGCTTATATATATTCTTATATATATATATATATATGAATGTTATTGCATGCAAAATTATCAATTTTAATATTACTAATCTTTTCAATATAAACAGGATTTAAAGCAAGAGTATTTGAAACACCGAATGATGTTTTCATATTCTACACTAATAATGCACATTTGAAAGGCTTTTCGGTGCGAATAAACTATCAGAACAAATGAGAAGGTAATCAAATTATGTATATACAGTACAGTTGCAATAAGGCAGGATTTAAGTTTTCACCAACAAAACAAGCATCTAGCCAAAGAAATATACCTGTTACTCGAACTGGATGTCCCACAAAGATAAAATTGCAGTATAATAAAGAACATGACACATATGTTGTCATGCATTTTGAGGATGAGCATAATCATGCTATGCACTCCCTTTAACATAAGCATTTGTTGAAGTCAAATAGGAAAATTGAGAAAGGACATAAGCTAATAGCTTAAGTTAATGACTATGTGGGTTTACCATTAAGGGCTTAATATGATATGATGCAACGGGCAACTAGGTCATCAAAGTTAGTGGGCTTCACTAAATTGGACTTGAAATATTATTTACGTACAAGAAGAAGTAGCACATTAGAGCATGGTAAGACTAATTTATTTATTTTTGTAATGAAATATATTTATTTTATTGGTTAATGTTTTTAATTTTTATTAATAGGTGAGGTTGATGCAATTTTGAAGTATTTTAGTCAACAATCTCTTCAAAGGCCATATTTCTATTATGAATATGCATTGGACAATGAGGAAAAAATTACAAACATATTTTGGTCTGATGCTCAAATGAAAATGTACTATTCAATATTTGGAGATTCGGTTACATTTGACACCACGTATCGGAAAAATAAAAACTACAGACCGTTAGGTTATGTCTTTAACATGTGTTTATTTTCATTCACTTTACTATTTTATATAACAATTGTACTAATTTTCTTTGGTCATTTCAGTTGTGTTTGTTGGACTCAACCACCATCGCAAAAGTTGTGTATTTGGAGTTGCACTTCTATTGAATAAAACACAGTTATCATTTGAATAGTTATTCAATACCTTTATTAAATGCATGGGGAACAATTATCCAAAAACAATTTTTACTAACCAAGATGGAGCAATGTCTTCAACCATAACTCAGACAATGCCATGCACATATCATGCACTTTGCACTTGGCATATATCGGAGAATGCTAAAAAACACTTGAGTAAAAGCATACACAGAATGGTAATATTTATGATCGTTTTAGATATATATTTAAATGTTATCAAGTTTGTTGTCTGATAATATTATTTTATTGCTACGCATAGTAGATATGAAATATTATGTTATATACTAACACTATTTTTATGCTTTGTTGTAGTTTTGCAAAGTTTTTCCACAAGCTAATATATTGTGTCAACAATGAGCAAGAGTTTGATCTAGAATGGTCTTTAATGCTATCAACATGCTTCCCAAATGTAACTCATAAATGGATATCTTCAATACATACACTGAGGCATAAATGGTCTTTTTCATGGATGATGCAACAATTCACAGAAGGAATGAGAACTACCCAACTTAGTGAGTCAGTAAATGGGGTTGTAAAAAATTATTTGCAATCGGAACACAATTAACAACAATTTTTCAGTCATTTTGAATGGGTGGTTGGTAGCCGAAGAAACGAAGAAGCGTTGCATGACTTCTATGCTCGTGACTGTCAACATACAACAAATTTTCCATACAATAAGATGGTTACATCAATTGTTGTTTGTTACACACCATCAGTGTTCAAGATCTTTTATGACGAGTACAACAAATCTTTTGCATATATTACAAAAATTTATGACAAATGCAGATTTTCAAACTGATGTTCAGTACTATGTTGTCCTGAAAACAAATTCAGATCAATATGAAGATGAGGTGCATAATGTCATGGTGGACTTTGGACAACGACTAATACATTGTGACTGCAATATGTTCATCAATATAGGAATCTTATGCTGCCATGCATTAAGAGTGATGGATGTTAATAATTCTATGGGTTTGGAAACTTTTGTGGTTATCCCAAACCATTATATCTTGAAAATATGGACTAATGATACAAAGAAAGATGTTTGCTTAGATTTGTCAGTTTCTAATCATCAAAGTGAGGGAGAGGATTATAATGTAAGATACAAAAATTTGTGTTCGATGATGGTAAGTACAGCTGGAACAATAATTAAGGAGAAGAAATCGTATGATAATTTTGTCTCTGAGTTCCACCGAATTGTGAAAAATGTTGTCCAATCAACAAATAACACCATCAATTCTATTGATCAAGTGATTACAGAAGATGTACTGGAAAAGAGAAAGAGAATTAGTGATGCAGTTTCTTCGAAAGGCAGAAAGACGTTAGTGTCAATATCAAAACAAGCTCGAGACATAAAAAAGGCTAAATTGAGAAAACTGAATGGATTCATTAGTGGCACAAAATAGTTAAAGTTATTTCCATCTGGTGAAAACAAAAATTGAGTGTTTGTATGTATAAATGGAAGTGCATTTGATGTTATGTTTTTTACTTTATTTTTTGATTTTTATATATAAAAAATAATTATGTTTAACAATTTGTTGATATTTTTATAGGTTTGCATCTTCGTAGGAGTGATGAGGAGGTAGACTTATTTGACTAAATGAATGAATGAATGAATGATTGTGGGTTATAAAGGTTTGTTACTTGATAATTTAAATATGCTAAATAGTTATAAAAGTTTGTTATTTGTGGCTTGGATAGAATCTATTTGCAAGACTATGAAGAAGTTGATGAGTTGGAGCAGTGGGAGAAGCCAATTTGATATTCACTCAAATATGCATCGGTAAGTATAAATGGAAGTATATTTGATGTTTATGTTTTTGTCTTTATTTTTCTTCTTTAATATTTTAAAAGTAACTATGATTAACAGTTTGATGTTTTTTTTTTACAGGATTGGACCTTCATATTTCTTGGGTTTGATGCCTACGATTGGTTTAAAATTTAGAAATAAATGATTTTTATAAATCTGTTATGGATCTTTCTGTTTTGTTTTTTTTTTTTTTTTGTTCCATCTTATGGTTTTTCTTTAAAGTTTTAGAACCTTATTTTTGAATATAATATATGCTTGTCCTTTCAGTTCTTGATTTTTTTACTTTGATTTGTGAATAAGATCATAAGTTTTCTGTATGCCTGGAGTGATTTATATTTCTTCTTTTTTTTTTTAAATGTTTTACTCGATTTTGATTGTTGTTGTGTTCTCTAGAAAACTAAATGGTACAAAATTGAAAAGGTGCATTGTCTGAATAGTCAAAGTTACAAAGAAATTTGTAACTTTGTTATTTGTTATTTTCTATTCAATATTTTTTTATGAATGGAGGATCATGAAGAGACCAAGAAGAAGAGCTCCTGAAAACTGATCAGAAAGTGGTTCAGATTACAGAGAAGCAGCAACATATAGTAGTTTCCAACAACAGCATCTAGGGAGTAGTTTTTCTTCATCATCAAATGAAGTTGTACGGACCAGCCAAGAGGCAGGATTTGAGGCTCCTCCTCGGCTGCCCTAAGTTATGTTGTTCAGTTTGTTATCATGCCGAAATTTATGCATTGAAGTTGTTAACATGTACTTTGAAGCTATGTTTATTGTTGCAAGATTAATCATGGCGAGAGCAACTGCTTGATCCACACTGTTATTTAATTAAATTCACTGTTTGGTAATGTGAATTGGATTTGAGTTCTTTGGTTTGGTGTAGGGTAAAGAATAATCCATTTGTAGTTTCAAAAGCTAGCAGATGATTGGTTTATTTGATCTTCACCATGTTTGAAGTTCTGAAAGGATTTGATTGAAGCTTTGTGAGGGTAAATTGATTTGTGAGGTGTGTAGTCCAGCCATGCTTGCATCTCTTGCGACGAAGATTTCTCCTCGAAGGGGGCTGAAGGAGGATAATCACAAGAGAGGTCGGAGTTTGGAAAGCGGGATTCGATCGTTGGAGAAGGATGATGATCTTATTCTATTTAACGAGGCACAAAACAAGAAAATGGAGAGTTTCTTGCTTCAGTAGAACGACAATTTCGATGATATTTTCTGTAAAGCCTCACATTCTATGATCTACTTTTGAACTTAATTGCTTTATGTGTGGTTTGTGTGTTGCTTAAGTTTCTGGTGCATGTTTTGCGTTTTTTATTCACACATTTGATCCTGTTCTTGTGGAGAAAGAAATCAATATATACAATATATATGTGATGGCAAATGTTGCCAAAAATCTGGTCCCTCGAGCTCGTCGTCGCTGGAAATATATATATATATACAAAGATTGTTTTGCCTTAACCATTAAATAACACAAAAATCCAAATTAATATGTGGGGTTTAGATTGTTATTTCTGAAGGAACAAAATTGTAGTAGTCACACTTAGTTGTTCCTTTAATCATTTTTTCCAAACCTGTTATGGCATATAGATATGCAGTTATCAATCTGTTATGACTCTCACTGCAAACGTAATAAAATGCTTGTATGTATAGCAAATCAAATAAATAATCAGCCAAGGCTCTCATATAAACATTGTTTTGAAACTATATAACCTATTCGAAACTATCAACTAACAAAATAATAATTATAAATAACAATGGCTACAAACCAGTGTTATAAACACTTCCTCCCTTGTTACCAACATAAGAAATTACAAGCTACAAACCAAGACACACATATAACAAAGTTTAAATTTCTTCGTGCGACTAACTCCCGGGAGTGAATGAGAGCTAAAGCAACGGTGGATGAGGTATCTAATCCCTCAACCATCTTTGCCACCCAATTCATGTAAGAATCGCCGTTTGCCCGAAAACCAATCCTTGGTGCCCCAAATTCATTTTCAACCTGTCGAATAAGAGTCAAATTATTGCACGATTTAAACTTAAGGTTGATCAAGACCAGAGCTTACGATGCACGAACCAGAGATATTATAACAAGCCCCCTTTGAAGCAAACAGATTTTTACTTTTTAACACGCTGACGATTTTCTGTAGAAACTGCTCAATTGCCGCATATTCTCCATTGCCTCGAACAAATTCAATCAATCCTGGTTTATTGGCCATCAACAATCACAATCTAATGAAAGGCTCGTTGTTTTACTGCTAATGCTGCCACAACTTTCTCATCACCATCATGTGTTTCTTCAACAATTCTTTAATAAGTTGCGGCTCCATAGGCACATCATCGGTTACACACTATCCCAAATTATAATATATCCATTTATAATAATAGTAATACAATATATCACAATTAGAAACAACTAATACAACTTATCCATTTAAAAACTAACCAGTAGAAACTACAAACGGTTGAAAAAATCACAACTTCCGCCTTGATCTTCGTCTAAATATATTCTCTTTATAGTTTTGTTTCCTTACATGTTTATTTTGTTCATTGTAAATTCTTAACATGTCCAACAAATTAGATTTCTTTTCATTAGCATCTTGCAAAAGTAACTCCGCACATACCTTTTCTCTTTTTGCATTCAAATTATTTACATCTTTGAATTGCTCTAAGACACTATTTGCGATATGGCCATTGAAGTAATTCATGTATAAAGCCAACATTACACCGCAAGAACGGGTATCTGGCTATGGGATATGACTAGGAAAAACAAATTCAAAACTTCCTTCGCACCTGTAATACACAACAAGGATTGGTATTTCATTATATAAAGTTCTTAAGAAAAATATATTCAAGACTTCAATTCCTACCTGTCATTAGCTGAATGATGTCGAACAATGGTCCTAAAATAACACCACAATATTTTCATTGTTGGCTTCTGTAATCCAACCTTCTTTGGGGTTAAGTGAATTGAAATACCAAATTTTATGTCTTGGTATATCAATACAAAAGAGCACTCAATGTTCATGTCGGCCGTGGGGGAAGAAAAACTACAAAAATCAATAAATAAACAAAAATAAGCCATTGAAGATCAACCAAAAAAAAAAGTCACTTTCAAATCAATGAATGACACTTCAGCATCATATCTAAGTAACATAAACTAGCTTTGTTAACGATATAACATATCAACAACAAACCAAACTATCAGATAACAAGGCTGTTATGTCAGATATCAAATAATACAATATTTTCCACAATTTCAGATCAATTAATGACATCTCAACATCATATTTTAGTAATGCAAACTAGTTCTGTTAACGAAGTAACATATCGACAACAAACCAATACTTTCAAATAACAAAACTATTATATCAAATGTCAAATAACAAAATATTCTATATAAAATAAATACAATCTCGTTTACTTACATAATCAGCTGAAAATATGCACTTCCAATTTTTTCCAAGATAATTTTTTTTTAAGTACGGAGTCTATGATAAAATGATTGCCTCTTTATCCGACACTGGACGTTTATTTTGTACTTCATGTAGTGTAATTGACTATTGATAATTAAAATATAAATATGTCAATAAAAAAGAAACATATAGTAATATAAATTATAAATATATTAAACTAAATAATTCATACCGCCAATATACTTGGAAAGAAAAAACGAGTCATTGGCTTCTTATCTGTGTTTGCCCTTTCAAATTCTCTCCTATTAAGAAAATGAGCATAAACTTTGTAGTGTCTATAATATATCACATTGGTGCTAAACTTTGTATTTCTTCGATCCGCATGTAGCTATTTCCGTCAAACACAATTGTTTCACCATAAGCTTCACGATCAGATATATCTCATATCCAATTCACTACCGACTCCTCAATATTAGTGAGATGTCAAGCTTTTTGGACACTTTTAACAACAATATAATATGGTGATCTAAACACCCTTGAAGCAATAAATTACCTTTGCTACCTTGTGTCGATTGGCGATTCAACACCTTAAACAAAAAAATAATAAGAATAATAATAATAAACATCATTGCATAATGAAAAAATATATATTATAAACATGAAAAATCGCATACAATGTAGTTTTCTTCATCAAAGTTTTGATTCTTAAATTGAAGTCTAAGTTGCTCGTCAGTAGCACTAAATGGACCAAGAGTAGCAGCAACAACATCCTCTTGACATTCATCGTATGTCTAGAAAAAAAAAAAAGAAAACTTGTTATGAAAAAATTCTAAAATATACTACAAAGTAATGCAATCATATATAATGCATCACCTTTTCATTTTCGAGTGTAGGATCAACAATGTTTTTATCACCAGGAGATTGACTCAACCCAAATGAAAAACTTGGTCCAGCAAAATTCTAGAAAAGAAAAAATGCATAATATCAACAAACAATATTTACGTAATAACAAAATACAACATTATATTTATTCACTTACCATATTGTTCATAGGAATCTCCATGTCACCCATTGAAGATAGAACAACAGTTTTTTCGCAAGGAATCTACAAATATATTGGAGCAAATGATTGTTCTTAAATGTCAAAGTTTCAAAAAAAATAATGCAAACATGCATAATATACCTTATTGAACGTCAAATAACAATATCTCGGCCTTAATTGAATAAATTTTAATTATATAAAAAACTTAAATATCATATAATGAACTTATTATTCCACATAAGAGACTTCTTGTTCCATATAACAAACCTAAAAATACAACTAATAACAATATCAAAACTAATAAACAAATATCAAAAATCAGATAACAAAATTATATTTACGTAATAATAAAATACAACAAAAAAATATATTTTTTCATTTACCATATCCATAGGAATCTCCATAATACTTGTTGAATATAGAACAACATTTTTTTCACAAGGATCCTACAAATGATTTTGGAGCAAATGATCGTTCTTAAATATCATAGTTTCCAAAAATAGTGCATATATGCATAATATACCTTATCGGACGTCAAATAATAGTATCTCAACCCTAATTAATAAATTTTAATTATATAAAAAACGTAAATATCATATAACAAACTTATTATTCCATATAACAGACTCATTGTTCCACATAACAAACCTAAAAATACAACTAATAACAATATCAAAACTAATAAACAAATATTACAAATCAGATAACAAAACCTCATTGTGGGTTGAACTATGCCTCATCAACTGTAGCTTTGCAATAAGTCTACAAAAAAAAAATTATCAATATATTAAAAAAACCAATAAATATATAAAAATTAAATAACATAATATTAAATTTCATTCAATATAAATTACATTTTCTGCATGATCATCTTTGTGTTTTTTCTTAGCCAATGCTTCTTTTCCAATATATTAGCAACAAGAGAATACAATTCATCCTCAGTTTCTACAATCTCTTGTCTAACAGTTAAAATTTTCTCATTTAATTCATTTGCTTCACATTTTAAGGTATCCAACTTCAAAATAAATGCTTCTTTCTTGCGCTCATAAGCTTGTTTTGAATTTTCAACATTACCCGCTGAGCAAAATGCACTTTCATTTTCCTAGAAAATAAAAATACTATATTAGTTCTTAACATAGTAGAACCCTTATCTTTTAATTTTCTATTGCAAAAATATATACTTAGACTTCATATGGCAGAGGAAAAACAATAATGTTCTCTATACAAAATCAGCTCAAATAAACTTCAAGTATTAAATGTAAGGAATAAAAAAACCTTCTAGTCTTACATGTTGGGAAACAAGATGCCTATTTAGATATACAATTTGGAATTTTACAAGTCCATCACCTTATATATAATATGTAACACATACTTTACAATATAATATATAACACATACCTTATTTTCCTTAGCTAATTTATTTTGAGTTTCATTTAAAAGCTCCCTAAAACGTTGAGTCACATCAGCCAAGTGCATGTGTCTCTTAAAAGAGTAAGTAAAGCTCCTACTCCCCAAATTTTTACAATCGATTAGATCATAAAATGAATGCTGAAAATAACAAAAAAAAATTAGAGAAAAATACAAAAATATGTATATACATACTATATTTACACATTTTAAACACCTACCATAAGACAATGCATATCTCTTGTCGGTCTACAAGTTGATTTTTTGTCATCCACTAAGTTACACTTAAAATTGTGAATTGAATCCACCAACTTGTCTTTTATAACAGCAACCCAATTATTTCTTAAAGCATCCTCAGGAGATATAAGGAACCTAAAAAATCGATTATTGATACGTGGAGATGTTGATGGAATTAATAACGTCGACAAAGAATATATGACATAAAATCTCCAAAAGTCAATGGGACGGTGCAATCTAGAAGATTGCAATATCTTTGATAACCAACAATTTCGGACTACCGTCGAATTTCTTGTATCAAGCTCAAAGCGTTGGCTAATTTCATGAATTTCGCTATAATAGTTTGAACGCTTTACTAAAGATATGATACTTTTACCAAATCCATGTGGGAGTCCATATACTCGAGCAACATCATCATCGGTAATATGCCATTCCATCCCATCTAAAAAAATAAAACACTTTTTCTCGGTGTCCCAATTTCTCATTAACTGAAGGAATGGCTCACTATCTATTTTCGTTTTCCTAACATGTAGAAGACCCTCAAAACATGGCTTCTCAATATATGATCTAAACACTTCCTTATTTTCAGACTCTAGTAGCTTATTGAATTTTGCTATTTTACTCGGGATGAAATACATCTGAACATGTTTAGCCATTTCTCCCCTGTAAAAATACAAAATCAAACATAACACAATCAATAGAAATATATCACAATTCAACAATACAATACCATTATGTATGTGGCTTTCACTACCATTAAGATGAAATTGTAAAGCTGGAAATGAAATAAGATGAAGTACTTAAATGAGAAATAAGGAAGTTGGATCTCCGTTGACGATTTCATAACAATTTAACAAATAAATAAAAGAACACGAATTATTGCTATAGAATACATATGCATGCAGCAGTATTGATTTTAAGCAATATGCATGCATGCAGCAGCAGGAACTATACAAGCTGCTGAAAAATCAATATATATCATTTCTTTGGGATTTTTAAGCAAATTCATAAGAAAGAGAATCAGTGAATTCAACAATGAATGTATGTATTTATGTTGTTGAAAGATCAAAGAGAGACAAGTGAATGATTGGTTTATACTGACGAAAAGTAAGAGTAATGAGTGCATTAAAGCCATTGAAGATGAAGGTGAATGGATTAAGGGATGATCGGAAAAAGATGCAAGCAGAAATCATCTTCTCAGTGCAGTAATTCTTGAAAAGGAAACAAAGAAATAGGCAACAATCCACTCCCAAACAAGCATCACAAAATGAAAGTTATATCAACCAACAACGAAATTAGGAAAAAAGGCAAAAATCTCATCATCATCGCTAATTATATATATATAATAAATGTCCATCCATCAAGAACAACCATAATAATATATCCCTTTTCTCTTCACACAATTCTTCTTCACTTACATTACATAGATGATGATGGATGAATGCACTAAATAATAAATATACATATACCCCCACCAAACCAATTCCAAATGTCCTAATTCATTCATTTGCATTTGGAAAAAATAATATATATTTATTCCTTACCTTTGGTAAATCTGCACAGGCATATCAGATGTAGCAAAAGCTTATTCAGCAGCGATGAAAAGCGCCAAGTCACAAGAAACCAAAGCCGAAGCCAACCTGGGGAAGTCAGTAGAGGAAAAGTTGAGTGCATTCAAGGAACATCTTCGCATAGATTAAACCACGGTAGCGGGTAAAGTGATGGATGGGATTCAATACTTGACTTACCTGATTGTCATTACCTCAATGCTTGTTGCTGCTTAAAAAGGATATGCATTAGTAGGTCAGATCATCATTTAGTACAGATTTATATGAAAAAAAAAGTAAGGAATTAATACCTCAATCACAGGCACTGCGTGTCTATTGCTCCACAACAACTATAGCATTAACCCTAATGTAGAAATAGGCAGCTATACTCGCTACTTCTTTCCTAAAGATACATTATAAGAACTTAGTTTCCAAATTTTCTTAAGATTAAAACACATTAGAAAACACAAGAAACACATTATACAAATTACATAACCTGAGTCTGAGTGAGAAATCTGAATCGAAGTGTTGGCCGAGATGGTTCGCAGCAAGAAGATTCTGAATCAAAATGTCTAGGGCACAGAACAGAATTAGGGGGTGTATTCAATATAGATTTTGTAGGATTTTGTTGGACTTTCAAAATCTGAGTGTATTCAATTAAGACTTTTAAAATCTAGAGGTATTCAATCCAAACTTTTAAAAGTCTTTTAAAATTCTGAGGTATTCAATATAGATTTTAAAAGTCTTTTAAAATTTTGAGATATTTAATAATCCATAAACTTTGAAAGTCTATGGATTTTAATGGATTCTAATGGATTTTTGTGAAAATTTTGTATAGAAAAGAATCTCTCATTACCATCACACATTTTGATGGAATATAGATTTTAAAAGTCTTTTAAAATTTTGAGATATTTAATAATCCATAAACTTTGAAAGTCTATGGATTTTAATGGATTCTAATGGATTTTTGTGAAAATTTTGTATAGAAAAGAATCTCTCATTACCATCACACATTTTGATGGATTCTTAAAATTATTATTATTATTATTATCATTATTATTATTATTATTATTATTATTATTGTTGTTGTTGTTGTTGTATATGTGATTAATAATATGATAATATTTATTACTATTATTATAATTTTTAATAAAAATAATAATTTAAAATTAAAATATAAATTAATGGTTCAACAAAAAAATATATATTTAAATATCTATTTCACCGTTATCGTAATGATAATATAGTGTATTCGATAATTGAAAAGAAAAGATGACAGTAATATAATAATATTTTTTATTTATTTATTTTAATATTTTTTTCAAAAATCGTATATTATTTATTTATTTATTTTAATATAACCTTTTTGCATAAAAAGTAAATACATATATATTATTTATTAATACTTATATATTATTTATTAATATTAATAATTATTTATTATATTTATAAAATTTGTTGTTTGATATAAATTTATATAATTAATATATATTTAAAAAATTTATTTTACAATCCTACAAAATTCATATAAATCCATAAAGAATTCAATCAAATCCGTATAAATCCATTTAAATCAATTACTAAAATCCATCAAACTCAACGTAAACTCTGTGGATTTTATAAATCCACATAAATCCATAGACTTTTTAAAATTAAAAAAAAAAAATCCATTAAAATCCCAATTAAATACACCCCCTTAGAGTGAGAGTTTGATGTTGGATTTGCAACAGAGGACTCGCCGGTTGAGAGAATCTGAATGACGAGGGCAACGAATTGCAAAAAGGGCAAGAATCGATTACGCGCACAAGGATTCCAAATGAGGAGAAGAAAGTAATAAAATGAAAAGACTAAAATACAATGATTAAGATATCATTCAGCAATATTGAATAGTATTATAGGATCAGCACATGATCCTTCCCCATTTGCATAATATATTGAACATTGTAAGAGTATTTATTATTAGGTAAATAGCACAATTAGTAAAATAATTTTAGAATCTTTCTTATTGGACGAAGAGAGTAATATACATAACTAAAATAAATTTAAAATATGTATTTAAATATTTTAAACACTGCATATCAATGAATATATATAATATGAATATTATTGTATATTTTATATAATATAATTATACAAAAATATATATTCATTTATATAAAAATAACATGATCTATTTTTATAAAAAAAATAATAATAATTGAAAAATTTTAAGTGTAGATAAAAATATTTTTATTTAAAAAAAATAAAAATAAAAAAGTTTTGACGTAACAAACTAAAAAAAAAAAAAGGAAAAAAATGTATCTGTAGCGGGAGAAGGCTATATATTTTGTTAAGAAAAAATATAATACTATAAAATAGTACAAGAAACAAACAAAATGAATATAGAAAAGCCTTGATAATAATCCACACCTCTATCTCTATTCTCTACGTTCCAACAAGTGAGAGAGTATAGATAGGCTTTCATAAAAATTATGACCATATAATAAATAAATAAATGATAGTCCTCAATTTACAGCAGTATCCTCCCCCTTCGCCGCCGCCTTCTCCACCCGCGCCTGTAATTGCCTTCACCACGCCGGAAAATTACGCCGGCAGACTCTCTCACCTCATTCGTCTCAAGGGCTGGGTTCCTCTCTGGTGCCCCACCCTCACCGTCGAACCCACTCTCCACACCATTTCCTCCCTCCGCCGTTACCTGCACTTCCCCGATCCGCCGCTCCGCACTTTCTCCGCCGTTGCATTCACCTCCAGGACCGGAATCTCCGCCTTCTCCGAAGCTCTCTCCGCCGTCGATTCGCCGCCGTTGCCCCCGGATGGGGATATCTTCACCATCTCCGCCCTGGGGAAGGACGCGGAGCTCCTCGGCGAATCGTTCGTTCTGAAATTGTGCGACCGTCCGGCGAGAATTAGGGTTCTGATTCCGCCGGTGGCGACGCCGAGCAGTCTGGCGGAGGCGCTGGGGTTGGGCGAGGGGCGGAAAGTGCTGTGTCCGGTGCCGGCCGTTATCGGGCTGGAGGAGCCGCCGGTCGTGCCGAAGTTTCTGGCGGATCTGCGGCGGAGGGGGTGGGTGGCGGTGGAGGTGGAGGCTTACGAGACGCGGTGGCGGAGGGGGGTGGCGGTGGCGGAGCTGGTGAGGATGATGGAGGAGGAGGAATGCGGGGTGGAGGCGATGGTGTTCACGAGCACGGCGGAGGTGGAGGGGCTGCTGAAGAGCTTAAGGGAGGTGGGGCTGGATTGGGGGATGGTGCGGCGGATGTGTCCCAGGATGGTGGCGGCGGCGCACGGGCCGGTGACGGCGGCGGGGGCGGAGAAATTGGGGGTGGGAATTGATGTGGTGAGCTCCCGATTTGACAGTTTCCGAGGCATTGTGGATGCGCTTCAGAGCCGCTGGAATTACTCCCAACCTTATCAATGAACTAATAACTTTTTTTTTTTTTTTTTTCATATATTATATAAGAATAATATAATTTTACTCCTACAAGTAAGTCATGTAAATTAATGTCATTATGTTTTTTTGTTTTTTTTTTCTTTTTTGTTTTTCAATGTAAATTTGACATATTTCAAAGATAGGACTGTGTACTAAATGACATGATTGTGCGTGTTTGGAACAAAACTGTATTATTGGTTGTGATTCCTATTTGTACAATCGATCATTGAGTAATATGATCGTGTTTTTGAAATATACAAACAAATAAAAATAAAAATAAAAAAATGCAAATAATTGTATTTCTGATATACATATTCATTGACTAAGAGCATTTATTAAGAGTATACCACAATTTGAGTAATATAATTGTGTTTTTAAAATTGTTCAAATTTGGTCAATTATTCAAATTTGATATGTAACTCAAACTTTATAATCTGACCTGATTTTATAACATGAACCTGACCTGCGCTTCATATCTCAACTTCTTCTCATTTTCGGTTCAATTGGTCTAAAAAATAGAATTTCAATTCGTTCGGTTTTCTCTTGTTTTCATCTTCTTCTTCGCAATTCTTCTTAGTGGATTTTGAGGGTTTTCTTTTTTCGCCAAAAACTACAAGCGTTCTCCTTCAATTCCTTCAGGTAAGTTGTTCATTTTTGTGTTTTTTGTCAGTTCTTGAGGAAATAGGTCAATTAGAGTTAGGATTCTAGATCGAGTCCATAGGTTTCGGGTTTTATTTGGAGGCAGTTGGGTTAGTCTCTAAGTGAGTCATCAGGTTGTAAACTAAGCCGTCAAAATAATTTCTCGAATCGTTCTTGTCGAGTTGTTTTGGGAGTTGCTGGAAGAGCTATCGAGCTTCCGCTGTTGCTCTTCGCTGGAAAAGGACATCGCCGCTGCGGGAGAAGGAATCTTCCGTCGCCAACCACATCCGTCAGAAGCTGGAATTTAAGAACAAGGAATTGATTTCTCATTTCAATTGCATTTAGGCCTGTTTCTTTGGTTTCGGATTTTGATTTCCAGAAAGTGATATTGTCTTTACTTTTCAATTTTGTTGGACATATTTTATTTGATAATTTCTCGTTGTTGACAGATTATATATTAAAAACAACAGTGGTATTAGAGTCAAATCTGTCAAAGCAACGAGTTCGAGCAGAATCTTCAGGTATTTCAATCGTTAGTAATAGATCGATTTTGATAAAAAGGCTAAACTCTCTCCTTTTAATTTCTTAGTGAATATGTTGATTGCAGATATTTTTTTATCTTGAGAATCTTGATATTTTTGTGCTTTTGTTTAGTAATTGATTGATAATTGCTTTGTGGTTCTATTTTGTTGTTGCAAATATTGTGTTTGATTGGTAGTTAATTGCTTGAATTGTATTTTTTTAGTGGTTTCTTTTGTGGGTAAATATTTTCTTTTAAATGACTGTTCCTATGAGTTTTTTTTTTTTAATATGCAGTCATTTGATAGAAAAATACATTTTACTATTTGGAAACAAAGATTGAAAAATATTTTAATTACTCAAAAATTTTCTCGAGCAATATATGGTACATATGATAACACTACATCTCCTACGAAACGTATTGAAATGGATGAATGTGCATGTGCGTGTATTCTATTGTATTTAACTGACAATGTGCTTAGAAAATTAGGTAAGTTTTCTAATGCAAAACAATTGTGGGATATGTTACATGCCTTGTACACGAAAGTAACATTGTCAAATAAGTTGTTTTTACTCGAAAAAGTTTTCCAATTCAAACTAGACACTAAGAAGAGCGTGCATGAAAACGTAGATGTCTTTACTAAACTAGTTCAAAATATAAAGTTAAATGGAGATCAATATACTGATGAATATTCTCCGGTTATGCTTTTGAATATCATTCCCAATTCCTATAGTGATGTTAAATCCGTAATTAAATAAGGTAGGGATGACATTACTTTAGATATAGTAATAAATGACTTAAAAAGTAAGAAATTAAATTTAGTAGCTAATAAATTAATTGAAAACTTAAGTGGTAAGGTCATGCATTTTAAAGGTAAAACTTTCAAAGGAAACAATCAAAACAACAACAATTGAGATAATTAATCATCAAATAATAATAAAAAGAAAAATAAAGAAAAGAATTGTAAGTCATTGCCTAGGATATGTTATAGTTATGGTGGAATAGGCCATTATATTAAATATTGTCCTAGTGTAACTAATAAAAATCAAGTAAATAACAAAAATCAAATAATTGAGTCCAATGATGTATCAAATATGGCTTCGTGTAGTCAAACTGTAGGTAATGTATATTGATTTAAATTTGATTGTTCTTTTCTTGCCTTTAGTATGTGAATGTTGTAAAATGATAGAGGATTCTCATTGCCTTCGTCATTTTGTAGGCCGCCGACGCTGCGAGGTTAACAAAATGAACTGAGTCATATTGTTCTGAAGCAAGCACTGCACTCGAAACCTTGGTGGCATCCTTCATTGTGATTTTTTCGCGAAAGGATTTCATCTTTTCATCTTGCGCTTGGCGAGCGAATTCCTTGTCGAGCTCTCTCCGGTTAAAGTCCTTCACTTCTTTGTAGTCCAGCCACCAGTCACTCACCGGGTACCTCTGGTCAGTTTCATCCGTATTCGAATCAGAGGTAATCTTCCAGGACTCTGGGATGAATTTTTTGAATGTAGTGGACTTTAGCTTCTTGAGCTCGATCTAATCTTCAGTCAGCTCCAATAGTCTCCTTCTTTTGTAATAAGTTTCTGGCGGCGCTGACCCAATAGATTCAGCCCCCGAGCTTGTTGTTACCACCTTTCTTCCGTATGTGGATTATATTCTCTGAATCCTCTTCCAAATATTTACCTCGACCTTTTCAAATTCCTTTTTCACAGTCTTCTCCTTGCTTGGATCTATGGTGATGGCTTAAGAAAAAAAACCTAGGGTTTCAAAAGGGACTGGGGGAGTATTATATATTTGTATCATCTATTTATATATGTGATGAATGAAGATGTTGCTGGAGTGATTTACAACAAGACTTTTTTTTTTTTTATGTACAACAAGTCCAGCAATATATTTAACCTAACATAGGAGCTGAAGTGATGATACATATTATAGATGACTATATATGATGTTGTACAATTGTATATTAATTTGTTAGTTTGTTATACTGATTTTTTATAAGACCACTTAATAGATTCCATCAATTGTATTTAATTTCTCTTATGTACTGAACTATTCATCATTTTTACTAAAATTATGTATTTGAAATGCAAGTTTGTTTCTAATCCTCTTTCTGCCTGTATTTCATATTTAGTTAATTCTTTTTTTTATCACCATGGTATCAGAGCACTAGACGTTCCTCTCATCCCATCTTGTGATACACAAGATGCTACAAAAATATTTGCTCGATTGGCAGCCCAAGTTATGGTTGCTTAAAATGTTGTTGCTTAAAAAACCTTGCCCAAAGCTCTGAAGTTATCCAGTAGTGATCATCCATACCTAAAATTATCATCAACCTTATAACCAACAATTACTTCATATGGAGTCACTGCGTCTGGAATGCCTTAATAGCCAAAGACAATATTGGTTTTCTCACAAGCATAGCCAAAACCAGCCTCTCATGAGTATGATGCCTGGATGGATATGGAAGCCCTCATTAGATGGATTATTAACTCTATGTCAATTTATTTGCAACATGTTTTCATTTTTATCTCTACAGCAAAAAATCTGTGGAAAAGCTTGAAAGAGAAGTTTGGCCAATCCAATGCCTCGCTCATATTCCAACTCAAACAGTCTTTTAATTCTTTTAAGCAAGGTAATGATTTTCTTGCAACCTATGCAACCAAACTTCAAGAACTATGGGTGTAATGGTTGACTTTTGATCCTCATATTGAGTGCAAATGTGAAAACGTGTGCAGGTGTTACCTGAACAAAAGATTACTAGCCAAGATGGGTAAAAATTTGGTGATTTAATTTTTCATTGGCCTCAATGACAGTTATGATGCAGCAAAAGGTCACATATTGCTCATGGATCCTTTGCCAACCATGAACAAAGCTTACTCATTATTGCGGCAATTCGAGAAACAATGTAAAATTCACATTTCACTTGAATATAATGCCATGTTAGTTGTGAAAGACACCTATCATAAGCAGCTTGTTAGGAAGAAAAATTAAGTTGACAAGCGAAACTGGATATGCGAATATTGCAAAAAGAAGAGACATAACAAAGAAATATGCTTTCAACTCAATGGCTTTCCAGATTGGTACAAAGAAGGTACTGATAAAAAGAAAAAAAATATGTCGTTGCAGCTATGGTGGATAAGAGTGAGCCAAAAAAATCTCCCAGTAAGGACTCTAAACTCATTGATTTGATTGAGTCCATGAAAATGGACATGTAAAGGCTACTAAGCTCTAACTTGAGTACAATCACTAGTCTGAAATTCTAACAGGATATGCCCACTCTGCTCCAAATTACTAAGGTATGACTTATGTTGTTTGTCCAATGCATTTGGATAGTGATTCTTGGCTTATGGACAGCGGAGCTACGTGCCATCTATGCTCGAACCAATCCTTATTCACCTCTCTCACACACTTAAACCACATGCCTAAAATAATGCTCCCGGATGGAACACAGATTAAAGCTATCCAAACTGGTTTTGTCATTTTTCATCTTCAGCTCACCCTACATAATATTTTACTATGTTCATACTTTTAAATTCAATCTTTTGTCCGTGAGTGTCTTATTAAATAGTATATCCCATAATCCAATTTTCACACATCCGCACTATGTTATACATGACCATAGCTCTAAGCAAACTTTGGCTACTGAAAAGCTTAAAGGAACCCTCTACATCCTGCACCCTCTCTCTCACAGCATAAACTTCTCAGTCTCTACTGATTCTAATCTTTGCTGGTTGTGACTTTGTAAGTTAGGTTGTGACTATTCTAGAACTACTTGAACTTATCTCTTATATAACAAATAGGATCTTCATCACCACATTAAAACTTTTAGCTTGTTGATAAGAAACCAATATAATTCCTCCATTAAATGCATTAGAATCGACAATGGTTCTGAATTTCTTTACCATAAATGCCAAGCTCTATATTGAGCTCATGGCATTATTCATCACCATCCATGTCCCTTCACACCTCAATAAAATGGAAGAGCTGAAATAAAACACAAGCATCTCCTTCACTTGATCCAAGCTATCTTTCTTCAAGCTTCTCTTCCTAAATATTATTGGGCATAAGTTGTCATGCATGCTACTTACTTGATCAATAGAATTCTCAGTTGAACTTGAAGATATTTGGTTGCGTCTGTTATGCAACCAACATATCCCCTCATAAAGGAAAACTTGATTCTCGGGATATTAGATGTAAATTTCTTGGCTTTTCAGCTAGTCAAAAGGGCTTCAAACTCATTGATCTTGATCATAAAATGTGAATAATAGCTAGGGATGTTATCTTTTATGAAATTGTTTATCCATTTGCCCTTCCTCATGTTTCTAACTCTATCCTCTCACCCTCTCCTTCTCAACCTATACCTCATATTGATTATTATGACCAACATCTTTATACGTATTTCATATTACACATCAACTCATCACCTGCCTCTTCTTCCTCCACACAACATGAGCCGCCAGACCAATCCTCTTATCCAATACCCAAGTCTTTATATCAACCTATATCCGATAATGCACCCTCCTCTGGCATTTCTTCTACTTCATCTGAACCCACTCCTCAAGCCTCTCATTATTCAAGCGAACTCACAAACCCCCTGTCTGGCTACATCACTATCTCACCACCTCCACTCACTCCCCTAAGCATGTTTGGCACATTGGCTCTAATGTTAACTTGCAGGAACCTATATCCTTTGCGTAAACACAACAAGATCCTACCTGGAGGACAGCCATGGAAGGAGAGCTTGACCCTCTTGACCGTAATAAAACTTGGGAAATTACTCTACTATCCCAGGGAGTAAAACCAATTTCATGCAAATGGATTTTCATAATCAAACGAAATATAGGTGGGAGCTTTCAACATTGTAAGGCTCGATTGGTTACTCAAGGCTACTTATAAGTACCAACAACGATTATAATGAATTATTTGCACATGTTGCCAAGCCAGTTACTGTAAGACTGCTTTTGGGCATATCTTCGATGAATAGGTGGACCATCCATCAACTCGACATCAATAATGCATTTTTGCATGGATATCCCACTAGCTACGAGGAAGAAGAGCTATTTGTCATGTGGTTGCCCGTTCCATTATCGAAATACCACACACTTGTCTCCACTTTTGATTCATCTTTCGATGCAAAAATAGAGATTTGTTGTTAAAGAAATTCAATCTTCGGGTAACCAAATATGAATTGGTACCATAGGCACTTTGACGGCGAAAGAGGCGAAAGAAGCAATTCATAGAAAGATCCACTAGGCAGCAACATCCTTCATGGACAGGTGTGTAAACTACGAAAGTCCTTGAATGGCCTGAAGCAAACACCACGGCAGTGGTACAAAGAATTTACGTCCAAGCTTGTTATGTTTGGTTATTTGCAATCCAATCATGACACATGCTTGTTTACTTGTTTCTCTAAAGGTTCCTTTACAATACTTGTTGTCTATGTAGACGATATTCTTGTTACAAGGAATGATTCTCAGGCCATCACTGCTCTTAAGGACTTCCTACATAAGACATTCACCATAAAGAATCTTGGATCAGCTAATTGCTTCCTTGGAATTCAGATTATTCACATGCATAGTAACATTATTGTGTCTCAACAGAGTTACCTAGAAGATATTCTTAACGAGGCAGGTCTAGAACTCCAACGCTTATGCAACTCTAGTTGCCACCGGCTCAAAACTGCAAAAAAATAGTGTATTTCTTTACAAAATTCAAAGAAATATCGTTGGTTAGTTAGTTGCCTTCTATAATTCACCATGACACCGCTAGACATTTGCTACGATGTCCAACAATTAACTCAATTTATGTCACCTCCAACTAGTGAGCATTGGAAAGTAGCCTTGAGAGTGCTCCGATATCTCCATGGGTCCATGCACTATCATTTGGAGTTTTATGCTAATGGATCTCCTATCCTCTTTGCCTTTGCTAATGCAAATTGGGCTAGTTGTTTTGATTCTTGTCAATCTCTTACTGATTATTGTATTTTCTTAGGCCCCGTTTGGTCTCTTGGAAGAGAAAGAAGTAGGCCACCATTGTTTGTTCTTCACCGAAGGCCGAATATCGTGCTCTTGTCTCCGTTGTAGATGAGCTCTTATGGATTACCTACTTATTGCATGATTCCTAGGTGCTTCAGACATTTCTCATTCCGTTCTAACACATGATCAAAAAAATCAGTCCACCACGAACGCACCAAACATGTGGACCATTTACATTCCCTCTCACGGATGTTTTCACAAAAGCCTTGTCCTAAGGGCCACTTATTAGATACTATTAATTTTATATAATCTCTCCGATCTAGTGAACCATTCATCATTCTTAGTAAAATTCTGCATTTGAAATGCAAATTCGTATCTAATCCTTCTTCCTCCATGTTATTTCTTCCTTTTATCATCAAAATGCCAATGTACTTGGAGTTTTTCTGTCAGCATCTACTGAATAATTAAGAGCAACTACTACCGCTAAACATAGGATAAGTTTTGCCTCATACCAAATATTGGCATTAATTAATTACGTAATAATCTCAATACTAATAATAATAACAATAATAATAATAATAATAATAATATCCACATTTACTGTACAAAAAAAGCTACTCTTTGCCACGGAAAAAACTTCCTTTCCGACAGGAGCTATTCAATTCAATTCAAGAACAAACCAATATCTGTTCCATCTCGAACCAGCAAGATAGATCAAATTACCTTACCTTACCTCTCACATGGATTGCCGATTATCAGCCACCTTGTCTCTCCGGCTGCTGCTGCTGCTGCCTCTTTCTTCCTTAATCTCCTCTAACTCATCTTCATCCCCTCCCTGCCCCGCCTGTTCCTTCCAATGCGCCACCAGTTTCTTTAATCGAGCCACTTCTTTTGACGACACATTTTTGCTCGGATCGTTCACTATTGATCGAACTCGGGAAGCATACCTGCATGGGATAATGGGCGTATCAATGAAAACAAATGTTTAGATTACCGACTACTTTTGATACAATCAAAGTTGTTTAATTGAGGAAGTTTGTAAGAGAGAAGTTCGTACTTTAAGGAGTTGTACGTCTCGTCAAGATTCGACTCAGCAGGAGAAATGTTGACAAACATCAACGTCTTGGCGTTCCCCCCGAGCGAATCGCTCATCAGCATCGTCAGCTTGTGGTTTCTGTAAGGAGTGTGCTGATTGCCCGACACCAAGGCGCCGATGACATCTCCCAGAGCTGAAAGTGATTTATTGATGCTCTGAGCTTCCTTCAGTTGACTCCCGGACGAGCCCGATTTCTTCACTCGTTCAGATCCCGCAAGGTCCACAAAGCTTAGCTGCATTACCATCAGACGAAAAAAAAAAGGATTAGGTCCAATCGAAGAAATCAGAATCAAATTTTGGTCAAAAAGAACAAAATCCATTCCATTGGTACCTTTCCTCGGGCGACAGATTGCGTTTGAAGATTTGTACTCTCGATGACTATGGAAAGGATCAAATGAGATCTTGAACTTTGCTCGTTCATCAGGGTCCCGGTTGTATGTCTCTGCTCGGATCCTCTCTCGATGATGGTTCTTAATTCGTCGTGCGACGAGATGGATACAGTCGTTACATTTTCCACCACTACCATTCCCTAAGAGTACAAAGGAGCCAATAATCATTATCGAACTACGACAGTTTCTTAACCCCGGTTAGCAAGAACATATTTTGGCTGAAACTTATAAGATAATTACCTTCGAATCTTTCTTAATATCCAGTTTTAAACGCTTCGCATTCTTCGGTAGTAGAAGGTCGACTAGTGTATCTTGGTATAGTTCCACCATGTATGCCTGCATATGTCAATGTAATATTTGAACTAGATAAACCAAAACCGTTTCATTTTTTTTCTAGGATTCGACGTTCTTACCTTCAATGTGAAGGAAAACTTTTTACTGTCCCGTCTCATGATTCTGAAAAGCTCGGATGTTGCTCGAGGGGTGAGACCCGCATTGCTCTCGGAACCATAAATAGTGAAAGTCTTGCCGGAACCCGTTTGTCCATAAGCAAATATACACACGTTGAATCCATCGACAGCCGATTGCACCAAATACTGCGATATTGAACAATAATATGTTTAATTCAAGTTTAGTAGAAAGTAACCATATAGATAGCTAACATAAGTGCTAGTATTTCCATGCCTTCGTATCCTCGAAAACATCCTCTTGAGTTGCATGACCATCGAAAACACGATCATACATATGTTGTTTTAGTTTATCATCTCTCCACGTATGCTCCACAGTAAATTCATCGACTGTTGTAAGCACATTCCGTTCCTTATCGGATATTTCTTTGTCGGTTAAAGGCCTCAAACGGCAATAGACTCTTATCTTGCCTTTCATGTCTACAAAATAAATGTTCACAAATAGCTACGACATTAAGATTTAAAAAATAAAAAATAAAAAGCTATGGAACGTAGAGTAAAATTACTTTTCATGTTGCGTACAACGGTAGCTGTTAGAGTGTTAATTGCGTTAAATCAACACATACGTATTTGTAGTGCATGCTTCTATATAGCACATCATTTGTTGTACAGTTTATATATTGTACAGTGCTGTATAAATATACTTATTGTACTGAAACCAATAATATATTGTATCGTGTGGAATTACAAGATATCTGTTGTATTTTGTATTATCAGGAATATGTAAAGACACTTTTGGATATCACATCAAATACACTTTTCTAACTTGTGACTTACCTTTTCCAAAAACATATATTTTCCTCTAACAAAACATCATATCAAACATCACGTTTTTTTAGATCAAAAAAAAATAGCAAACTTTTTCCTATTTGCAAAATTTTCCAAAACTCCCAAGAAAGGATATTGAAAGTACCTTCTATGATGTTGAAATATCTTTTTCTCATGACCTGCTCTTCCTTGTAAAGAGCCTCCATCTCAGCCAGTTGCGCTCCTTGCATCTTCAGTATTGCAGCAGTTTGCTCATTCTTTCTATCGATATCCTAAATAAGGGGTAAATCAATTAATACTTATTCACGTATAAATTTACGATACAGTTAATATAACGTGAATATATATATATATTTGTGCTAGTTGTGTGTGTGTGTCACCTCTTTCAATTCCCTGAGGTCTTCCAATTCCCGGAGATTATTTTGCAATGCAGACAACTCGGTGTCTTTAGAGGCAATAGCAGATTGTGCCAAAACTAAATTTTGTGATGCCTCTTCCAATTTCTTCTCAAGTTCCGAAATCCGTGACTTCGCAGCTCTGCGTTCCTGTTCAAAGTTTCTCTCAATCATGGCAATCTGTGTAGAAGAGTGATTTGCAGCAGTCGTTAGATGATATTAATGTATAGTAAGTTGACGATGTTTAAGAAGAAAAAGATGAAAGTGATAGTGTCTTTGCCTCGTCACTGTTCTTCCTTCCAAGCCTTGAAATCTTTTCTTCAAGCCATGCTTTCTCGTTCATGAGTTTCCTTTTGGATTCTTCAGCTGCAGCCAACTCAGCAGTTCGCGCTTTTAGTTCATCTTGGACCTTATGCAAGACCTGCACATTGTCGTAAAGGAAATGCTTACAACCAACACACATGCATCGGAAATAAATCAGTCCAATTGTACATGAGGAAAGATACGAAAGCACATATAAATAAATAGGCTGCGGTTAAGACGCTGATTTATAAATGTATTATTGTGCTGATATAATATATTGCATTATATTGAATTATATTATGTGCTATAAATTAATAATCCATTATGTTATATTGAATTATATTATGTGCTATGAGACTATGTGTTATATATTATATTATCATGTGCTGATAAATATGCACCGTAAGCATGTAAACCATAATTGTCGACATCTAAAATGCTATAGCGGATAGCAGTATGACCGCTATTCACATATTTAAGAATATACATGTATATAGAATTTTTTTTCTCATTTTCGTCATCTTCAGTGCTACTCTTGTCTATATATTCTTCCTCTTCTTCTCCATTTATTCTATTGTATGTTTGGTACTGGCACAATGTCATTTCCCTTTCTAGATATAGAAGTACCTATAGCTTTCTCTCTGATTGATGTTTACATCCTATTGTAGAGAGCAGGCTCGTTAACTTAGTAGCATCGGCAACAACTCTCCAAGTCAAACTATCATTGTCAAAGACTAACTCATCATCGCAAGTTGTATATCTTTATCAACTTCTCCAAGTAATCACTCATTGGAATTATCGGTATCGTTCAAAATAATAAGACCAATCACATCATTGCTATCATAACAATCTAACAAATTTTGGTTATACTTAGCTTTAAACAAAGGGTGTGTTTGTTTTGTAAATAGTTTAAAATGATATTTTTTTATACGAGAAATAAGGAATTGTATAGGTATATAAAAATAATAAATGTGTATAATATATTGACGTTTTTTAGAAAAATGTGTGTATGTGTTTTGCAAAAAGAACACACTCCAAATTTTGCAACTTTAGGCTCTCTAATTTGTTTCTTTTCTAGGAATGGATGTAACAATTAAAATTTAAAATAATGGTTAGTTTCTTTTGTTTATATTATAATAAAAACAGTACATTTTTTTTTCTACGTTATGAAAAAAAAAAAAGTACATTTTTATAAAGTAAAGTTGGATTTTAATTACTTACGTGTTAAAAAAATACTTCAATTTCTCTCACAACATGAGATACAATAGTTCTATTGACAACTATGATGTAAACCACTCGAAATAAATATTACTCCCTCCGTTACCTAAAAATGTGCTCAAACTTTTGGGTACAGGTTTCAACATGAGTGTTTACTTTTTATTAAATTTTGTCTTTCATAGTAAAAAATACAATAAAAATTGTATGATTACGTACTAAAAAAATAATATTCTTAGATAGCAGGCAAAGATAGAAAGTGTTCACAAATTTAGATCACGGAGGGAGTATATAACACACCTGATTATTTGAGTCGACCAACTCTTTCCTTGCATTGTTTTGCACTCCTTGACTATTAAGCTTTGCAAGTTTAGCCTCGATACTTTGTTTCTCAGATAGCATTCCCTACAGGTGATAAATGATGAGAAGCTGCAATTGCTGCCAAGAACTCGGCGTATGTCTATATTGACGGATGAGTACCTGAAGTGTGGTGTCTTTTTCATCACATAAAGTTCTCAATCGGTCGCGTTCGCATATTATTTCCTCTAAATATTGCTTATCGGACCTCAAAACACCTTTCAAACTTTCCAAATCTTCTCTCATCTTCAGTTCCTGTTTTTCCTTTTCTTGTAGATCTTCTTGCAACTGAATAATGATTAGGAGCCACGACGTATGCAAACATCGAACAAATTTTATAAAGTGATCGACAATGAAAAAATTATACAATTGCAAGCTCAAAAAGCTCGCAAACTGGCAACTCACTTGATTGACTTTCATTTGTGACTCTTCAAGAGATTTCGATAGCTCAGTAACCCGCTTCTCGTTGTCAACAACAGCAGGTCGAGCATTATCAGAAAAATGGCCATTAACCGATCCATTGGAAGCGGCACGTGCTTTAGAGTAGCGGCGCAGCATCACATCATTTATATGCGTTTGAAGGGCAACGCATATTTCCTCTCCCTAATTTCAAAAGTAATGTATAGGGAATTGTTCGGAAAACCAACAAGCGCAACCAAAACAATTTAACACTTGAATCATAACAAACTTACCTGCTTAGTTTCAAACTGAAATATATGCAGGACGCCAGCGACTCGCATCTTAAAAAATACTGCAGTATTGCTGCTGCCAAACTGCATTATGTCTCGTAACTCAGCTGAGTGCAAATACTCTTTAGGAACCGGGCGGAAAAAATGAACCTTTGGAGAAACACATAATTATATTAGTTCTGTAATGAAATGTGGCTTAGTTATATTGACGACGATTCGCTCTTACCCCACGCTTGTTTATGCCTAGAATGATTTTTCCGGGCAAGAGTCCAATCGGATCATCGATCTTACGAACAGCGAAGAAAACTGAGTTCCCGTAAGGAAGTGTTCTTAAAATCCTTAAAAATTGTTGTCTGGCATCATCTTTGGTCAAATTCTCCTGCAGCTCGAAAATATCAACCTAACATTAACACCCTTGTGTAACATTCAAAGAAGATTGAAGGTTTTAGAAAATGTAACGACAGCACAAATAGCGAAAAGGTAAATAAGGAATCAAATGGTAGCTCTCACCATCGAATGGTAGCGAGAAAGTACGTCCAGTTCCCAATCTCTCTTGGCTCGAGTAATGGCTACTTGTCTTGGTAGAAAACGCTCGAGAAGTGATGTCCAATCACTAGAAGAATCAATCGACAGTTATTCAACAAATATTGATGAGTTTCACAAATGTTTTCAAATTTATTCCTAATTGACTTACAAATCTAAGAACGAAAAAACAAAAACCAAAAGGAACTAACGTGCATGTTTCGGGAGAAACAACAAATCCAATTTCGACCAGTATTTGCAGAGCACACAGCTGCGCAGCATCGTCTCTCCCAACGGGATAATTGCCTAATACATAATCGTGCTGCAGCTGTTGCAATAAACCAAAAAAGAGAAAATTCATCAACATAATAATTTAAATGTAATCGCAAAATCAGGTCACCAGAAATGGAAAAAATTCAAATAAGCTTCCAATATAACAAAAGGAAGTAAAATCATCATACTTGGACGTAAGATAATTGCACAAACATAGGATCTGTAATGGCTTCGTCAGACTCCCGAAAGAGCTTCTTTTTGAATGTCAGTTTATAGTGCAAAATCTCTCCTTTGCTGCGGTCCTTCGATGCCTTGAAATCGGCAAGAAGATCGCCAATATATCTGTTATCATCTAACCCAATGTACTCCTCTACAAAAAAATGCAACGCTAAAATATTCAAGAACTCTAACACATAATATAAATCATGTAGAATGAAAAACAGCATTTTGATGTACGTACCATTTCCAACGTCGGGTGATTTGGAAACGACTACAGCTTTACGACACTCAAACAAACTGAAGCTGGAATACGCCGATAGTTTGATTATCCCCGCAAGTTCCTAAAGTTTAATAACAACACAAATGGTAGGTTTTAGTTACTGTCACACGAATTTTGATTTCGAACTTCGTAAAACTATGTAAGTAGTGTACCTCGACGGCATCGGCCACAGTCGTGGACATATCGTACGTGATCTCTTCAAAGGTTTCATCCAAGAAAAACACTATAGTTGTCAGCTTTTTACCAGTCAAAACGGCATCAATCTCCTCGCGTCCGGGTATTATATGCCTTGGCCCAGCCTTAACCGAACGTTTCAGTGCATTTAACGCGTTCATTGCAAGGACTTGGACTTGAGAATCCGTGTTGACACCGTGCGCTACGGTGTGCACGTACTCGGACAAATAACCACCGATTTCCTTGCTCGGGGGCATGCACGACGCACATAAGTACATTAGTTCCCATGCCTTAATCAAAGAGTACCTATAGAAAACAAATGCATAAGTTCCGCGACCGAGAAATTATAAAATGCTTACAAGATGGAAATAAGATTGTGTTCCAACAATAGTAGAGTTTGAGATTTGTTGCGGCTATTGCGAAATCACGATATCCAATCCATAAACAATCTTTGCGACTTGAAAACATAAGCCTAAATACACACCTATCGGGGTTATTTCTCGTTTGCTTGGAAATTTGCATGAAGAGTTCGTCTCGAAGCTCCGAGCGCTTCAAAGAATGCTTGTACAGTTTGCCGACGAGCTCTACACGTTCCTCCAAACTGATTTGAGTAATTCGATCAGAAGAATCAACTCCCATATACTTAAGGATAACCTGGAAAAGCTTGACTGCCCTGCTGATGAGATCACCGTTTATCTTCAGCATTGAGGTTGGAATCGGATCCTGTTGTTACACAGTCGTATCCAATTTTATTACACAATGTGGGAAAGGAAATACGACGAGATAGAGAGTGTTATTAGCGACCTTCTGGAAGCACAACATGTCCTCAAATGTGAACTTCTCTCGAACTTGCATCCCCGCTGTCTTCTTCGAGAAGAAGCCACGTTTACCGGATGAATTAATATGCTTCTGCATTGCCCTCAAAAATCCTTCCACCTGAAGAAAGAAAGAAAGAAATCATTACATACTATGCTCAAGTTTAGAGTTCTTACATTGAATGATTTAACAATTAACAATGTTGAAGTACTCGCTTTTGTTCAATTTTGTTTTGACATTGAATCGACGCAAACTGATGAGCCTTAACTAAATCTGCCTCGAAGAAAATCTGAAATTGTACCTGAAATTTGTCGATCAATGGTATAGCGCCGGCAAGTTCGGGCGCCATAACTGACGACAGGGAATTCGGCGTGCTGCAAGAGAAACAACAAGAATGCTTACATTAGTACACACATTGATTTTCTTCAGACAGTTGGAGGACAAAGCTGTAGGATGTTGAGAAGGTGAAGGTAATGATCTTACAGAGGGCTGAAGTTGGAACCATCGGAATCGTAGTCGTAGGCGTCGCCGTTGGAGGTGGCGAATGAATTGTGGGAAGGGGTTTCCAAGCCATTGCTGGAACCAAATGAAGACCTGCTTGATCTCAAGTTCTGTGCCATGTCAGATGTCATTCCATCTAACAAATTCAACTCAACTCAACTCAACTCAACTCAGCAATCGTCTTCCTCAAACATTCACTTCTCTGTAATCAACACATCTGGAATAAACAGCATTAAGACATTCCTTCAAAATCCTCTTAACAAATCCAGCCCAAACAAATAGTAAGAGCAAAAAGCTAAATAAATTACAATAACAACAGAATCAATGGAAAAGGGGAAACACTCGAATAGATCAGAAATTAGGCAGAAAAAATTAGAAAAAATCAACAATCGAAAAATTCAGATAAATCTGCAAACCACAATCGGTGAGATCCAACAGGGAAAAAAATACAAAATAAAATCGAAGTGATTGCACTAACAAAAGCCGCTCAGGTCACACTAAAATTCACAGAAATTTTAGATCCAAAAAGGAGATCAAAATGAAGTGAGGAAAGCATATCAAGTGCAGAAAACGACAACATGAAATCAGACCCCCAACATACACACATACATATAAATGGCAAAAAGAAAAAAAAAATGTGGATAAAAATGTAAAGCGTACAATGAATCTCTTTGCACAAGGCCGTACCAAGAAATGAAATGATGCGATAGGGCGGCAACATCCACCACAGAAAGTGACGAAGCTCTAGGGTTCATTGAACCCCTCTTGCCGAGCTAGAGAGAGAGAGAGAGAGAGCTAAATGGAATGGAGTGAAGGAGGGAGAAAGCAGAGCAGTAAGAGTCACGAGAACCTTTTTTAAATTTCTTTTGAGCTACGAAATGGTCGCCACAAAATGGCTGAAATGTCTTAAATTTATTTTATTAACAATTTTTTGAAATATTAAAAAAAAATTGCTGGGAATTATGGAAAAGGGCATTTGTTTTGCGATTTTGTCTGCTTCCTACATTTTGGATTATGATCCGACAATTTTTACTGTCGGCCGCCTGAAGAGGGAGTTAATTGTATTTTCACCCCGAAATTAAAAAACTCTCGTCCTTCTGCACCTCAAATTGTTCGAATGACGTATACATATTGCTAAGCACCGCATTTAAGTTAAATTCATTCATTATTTTTAATTTATTTTTAGAATCTTGTTATTGTGCTATACAATCCTTTTTTTCTTTTGATTTTGACCACCGTAATCCCAAAATAATATTCTTGCGACCAACTCATAAATGTCATTAAATACAGGAGAGCTCAAAACTGTCGAGATATTTTTACTATTTTGTTAAAAAAAAGTTTGTTTTTTTTATATGATAAAAAAAAAAAAAAAAATTATGTTTCTTTACATAAGACTGTGCCCCCTCCGGACTGGGTCCGATGATTTTTTTTTTTTTTTTGTCAGGGACATTATGGCTGTGTTTGTTTGGGGATTGATTTAATTTTTATTATTCATCTCATTTTTTTTTTTCTAAAAATATCAAATCAAATATCTATTTTTTATTTTTTATATTATATTAAAAATCAATTTTACATTTAAAACATTACATCAACACCTATTTATATCACATCATACAACTATTCAAATTCAAAATTTTTACTATTCAAATCTCAATTCAAAATCCAAACCCCCAAACAAACACACTATATTTTCAATAATATAAATTAATATTATTAATAATACGTTACTGTATTAATCTATTATTTTTTATCTGAGTAATATTATTGGTATTTTAAATATTTATAATATCATATCTCAATAAAAATATACTCCCTTTGTCTCAATACAATAGTCCTATTTACCATTTTTGTCCGTCTCAAAACAATTGTCTCATTTTCATAAATAACAATATCACTATAACTTTTTCATTATTAGTACACAATTATCACTACTTTTTACACTAATACACTCACTAGGGCAAAAAAATCTTTTACTAATACTTTTTACCCACTACTAATATAATATCAACATTCGATGGATATATTTTATAGATAATAAAAATCTATATAATAAAAATTTATATAATAAAAATAAATAAAAAATATATTTATTTATTTATAATTAATTTAAAACTAATTTTATAAAATATGAAGAGTTTGAAATATAAATAAAAAATATTTGTTTATAAAAAAATAAGCAATTTAATTAAATTAATTTATATTGATTAACTATATTTAAGAAGAATATATTTACTAAAAATATAAAATGATCATCTTTTATTGGACCGACAAAAAACAAAAAATGATCGTCCATGACAGGACGAAGAGAGTATTATTAAGTGTGTGTTCATATATTATTTTTTTTCTAATATAAATTTTAATAAATATTATCCCCTCCGTCTTATAACTATCATTTGTTTTTTCTTTTTTTTTTTTGTCGAACTTTGAATATTAATACTCCCATTGAAATGTTACCATTTTTCATTTTCGTCCGTTCCAAAACAAGGTTACCATTTTCTAATTTAGTAATTGTACTACCTACCTAACATAATAAATACCCTTTCAAGTTACAAAATATTACACAAATGCAATTACTTTTATATTACACCATACTAATATGGGTATTTTTGTCTTTTATACTACAATCCAATATAATACTAATATTCAAAAATCTACGTGCAAAAAGCAAACGTCACCCTTCCAACTGGACGGAGGGAATATGATATTCATATATAGTTCAAATTAAGAAAAAAAATAAAATATATCAATTAGTGTTGTATAATACAAATGAAATGATATTTGTATAAAAATACTATACAAAAATAAAAATATCTTAAATATAATAATATAAAAAGTAAATGAATATTTTGTTAAGGAACAAATGTACTATTAAAAAATAGTATTATTCTTCCCTCTTGTAAAATTATGTAAATTTGATGGGATGCGGAGACTAAAAATAATAATATTTTAATATTAAAGTGAATCAAGTAAAATTTAAAGTATAAATATTATAGAAAATATAGTAAATGATTGATAAAAATAGTACTCCCTACGTCCTATTGAAAGGTTACCATTTTTTATTTTCATCCGTCTCAAAACAAGGTTACTATTTCCTAATTTAGTAATTGTATTATCTACTTAACATAATAAATACTCTTTCAACTTACAATATATTGCACAAATGTTATTACTTTATATTACTATTTTTGTCTTCTTTACTATAATTCAATATAATACTAATATTCAAAAATCTATGTGCAAAAAACAAACGTCACCCTTCCAATGAGACGAAAGGAGTATATTAATTAGAAAAAAAATAGTAATAAATTAGTTGTTATTTGTTAAAGTAAAAATAATAAAATTACGAGTAAATACAATTGTTTAACATAAATGGGATACGTATAAATTTAGTGAAAAATCAAAAATATAATAGTTATATAATTTTATCAATAAATTAAAATAAAATATTATTTTTTATATTACGTACGTGATCTTTGGGATTAACACAGAAAAATAGTACATTTATCCAAAAATTCAAAACCAACACATCCTAAAATATCATTCAAAATGTAGTAAATGGAAAATGATATTGATTTTAATACTAGAGGGAATGCAAGAATATATTAATATATGAAATCTATATTTACTAAATGTATTATGGATCATCTAAAATAGTAAAATGGATATATGAATAACTAAAGGGGTATTAAATGTTATATGTATTATATATATATATATAAAAATTAAATAACAAAAAATATTTATAAGAATAAAAATTATGTTTAGTTTAATTGTATATTAAAAATATTAATTTTAGTCTAATAGTAGTTGACAATAACTAAACATGGTTATATTAGATGATGCAGAAAAGTGAAATGATAATCTAGCTATCTAACATGATCATGTTTTATTTAACAAGGTTGTGTTCATTACCATGCTCTGAACATAGTCGTGTTCATATCTCTATTTACGGGCATATTATTTTCCGTGTTCATATATGTATTTTCAAAATAGTCATATTTTTATTTATATTCACAAGTTTGTTCTCAACACATCTATATTCTTGTCTATGGTTACAATTCTATTATTAACATGACTATGTTCTAAGTTGTATTCATTATCATATTCACTTCTTTGTTCAAATTATATGATATATATTTATAATTTAACCAAAAAAATATATATATGGTTATTTAAACATATAAAAAAATAACCAAAATTTTTAATATTTTACAAAATAATTGAAAAATATAAAAATGATAAATTAATATCTATTTTTAATAATCATGATTATATATATTTTGTCCCAAAAATTATAGTAAAATTTTAAAATAATTTTAATTTATAATTCAAAGTATAAAAAAAAATATAAAAATTATTTAAAAATTGTACGATAGTTTAACTAGAAAAATTTGAAAAAAAAAAACATCAATAGTTTATATAATTATACATAATTATAATTTTTTTAGTTAAAATAGAATATATTTAAAATAATATTTATAGTTATTTTTTTTAAAATTATAAATATAAATAATTTAAAAAAGTTTATTGTAAATTTTAAAAATGATCGGTTGTTCACTTAGCATTTCCAAATAGAACGATTCTTTATAAATATTATTAAAAAACACAATATATATACATTAACATAATATATATAATACATATATTTTATCAACTCACAAAAAAAAATAATTCAACATAATTTTTTTATATAGTAACAATACGATTCTCCATGCCAACATAAAATAATATATTCATTAAAAAATACAAAGTGAAATATAAATATATATATATACATATATAATAATTTGAATAAAGAAGTAAAAATGATAAAAATTACCTAAAACATAATAATATTCAAAACAGACCGTAAACATGGACATGAAAATAGTTATATTGAGAACACAAATAAAAAAAACATATTGTCAGGACATGGCCGCAGATAGGTGCAGAACACAGTTATGTTCAGAACAAGATAATGAACACGGCCTTGTTGCGTGTCCGGATTACCCAGTGACATTTCTGAGTCATCTAATACAGTCGTATTCAGTTTTTGTCAGCTATCGTGAAGTGGGACCACAATTGATAAAAATAAAAAATAAAAATCAATAGAATCAAAATTGATAATGGTAACATACAATGGTATAAAAAATCATTTTTACTCTATTTATAATATCACAAATGTATGATTAGTTTTGTTTATCTTTTTCTTTTTTCTATTCGCTTTCCAAACCCTCTAATAAAATCATATTCGATCTTTGCTCGACAATTTCTATTTGTTCGTCATCTTAATTCATGCAATCAGTATCATCTAGTCTTTAATTGGATTGGAGTAAGTTGCACTAGAACTAAAACTTAATCCTAAAACCTTCTGATGGGCTTTTGAAACATATTGTAACTAAAAATTGGGTGAAACTCTGCTCATATTGATTGAATAATCGTTGTTTTTGTAATTTTCTGAATTATGCAATTACAAACATTATGATAATTTTTTAAGATTTTTAGTTATGATCATTTTTGTTACAAATTTTTAGTTATAAATGTTCTTTAATTTTAAATTTATAAGTATAGATTTTTTCTCTTTTTTGGTGAGTGGAAAAATCTATTTTTAGGTTGCATTCTCGTGTCATATAATCAAGTGGTAGAAATTTTACATTCATTCACAACCAAATTTTGCCCTCCACACCTCTCTTCTCAATTTGTTGATACATTCCGATTGTGGTGTTGTTTCAAAAAACTTTAGTGATTTCATATTTAAGGATGATTAATGCTATGGATGAATTAGAGTACTACCAATCATATTTCATTTTATAAGAAGAAGAATTTCTCAACTCTATTAACTGAATTTTAAATACATTTCTTGATTTATTGTGTTAAAAAAGTATCAATTTATGAAAAATGCTAAGATTTTGTGGCAATAACCGGAGAAATATATATATATAACTAAATATATGGGTATCAAAGAGTAAGCATTTGTTGTCCTAGATGGTTAATGAATGATCGGTTGTAAAAAGTATAAGTATTTTAACTCAAAACACACAATATTCAAACCGAGAGACCTCCAATGTCTTTAATGTGGCAATAGCATCGAAAAGTTGAATCACTCATAGAAGAACTTAAAAAATTAAGTTGAGAATCAACTTGTCATTCAAATCAAAACGATTTGAAGTGATAAAAACAAAGAATATATATCTTCAATTGTAGAAGATAGTGTATTAGAAGGTATAATTAATTACATGACAGCGCCACATTCTCTATAATCAAACGGTGTTATAGAACATAAAATAAAATACTACAAAATATGATGAATGTCATGTTGCTAATTTTTGAGTTATTTGAAAATATGTAAGGAAAAGCCGTGTTGACAGCAAAATGTATTTTGAATAATTTGTTTTCTAAAAGATAATGATACAACTTTTTTTGAGTTGTGAAATCATCATAAATTTTTCTATAAAAATTTTAAGTCTTGAGTGTTTGGTTAAGGTTGAAACACCTTTACTTAAAAATATCACGATCAACCTAAATATAATTAATTGTATATTTGTTGGATACACACTAAAAAAATAATATTTATCATTTTTTTGTTCACAAGTAAAAAATTTCCGATATAATTGAAGAAGCTATGATGAAGTCAATGAATGTTATATTTTTTGACAATATCTTTCTTTGTACGGATATGAAAAATGTTCTAAAATGTTCTCATAAGAGAATATGAGAAGAGAATATTAATTCTGACCTTATGAAAAAAAAAAAACCAATGCATAGTAAAGGTTAAAGTGGTCAGCTTCAGTTTCGATTTCATCACTAATATGTAGGATGGTGAAACAAAGATAATGAATGAAGTATTGTTGGGACCATGGTTTTATGGAAAAATGCAATATCGATGAGATTGATTTTATTATGCAAAGTTATACTTGGATCTTCACCGATTGCTTGAAGGATTGTAAGTCTCTAGAATGCAAGTAAATCTTAAAAAGAAAGTATAAATTTAATGGTCCATTAAAAAAATTTAAGGCTCAATTGGTTATAAGGGGCTTTAGACAAAAAAGAGATAAATAACTTATTTGATATGTATTATATTCTATAATGAACACCTCCACTAGAGTATTTTCGTGATTGTTGCACTACATAATTCCGATATTAATTGGATGTGTTCTTTTATCAAAATTTTCAGATCTTTACTATTCTAAAAAAAATATTTTCCAAAAATATCAAATCATTCATCTATTTTTTTTCATTTTCTATATTATATTATAAATCAATTTTACATTCAAAATATTATATCAATATCTATTTTATGCGAGAGTTTTAATAGTGCAGTATCGGATGCCCTGGACAAATATATATTATCTATGTTTGAGAAGATTAGGGTTTATTTGATGATGCGGTTGCAAGGAAATAGAGACCATGGCAGAAGGTGGAGAGACACGTTAATTTGCCGGAAATTAATAAAAGTGCTGAGAAGGAATATGGCAAAAGTGTCGGACTGTATTCCAATCAAATTAAATGACACACATTATCAGATATCTTGCACGGATGAGAGACAACATTGTGTGGACTTGGCAGAGAGGACCTGTTTATGTCGGAGGTGGCAGCTTAATGGAATTCCATGTAATCACGCTATATCGGCAATTGGAAATCAGAGGGGTGATGCTTTGGATTACGTGAGTAGTGTGAATTACCTGGAGGCCTATAGTCGTGTATATGTACATGCCATCAAAGTTGTAAGCAGCAAGGTGTTTTGGGAGTCTACGAACTTTCCCCCACCGAAGCCCCCGATAGTTAGAAGGCTTGTTGGGAGGTCAAAAAAACAACGAAAACGTGAACCCGGGGAGCCTCGCAAATCCGTAAAAACAAAATATGGGACCTCTAAGTTGAAAAGGAGACATAGTGGTATTAAATGCGGAAGTTGTGGTGTTGGTGGTCACAATGCCGCCAACTGCCCAAATTATCGACACAACGAGGTTCGTATCGTGTATTGCTTAATTTTAGAAAAATGCTATAGTGATATTGCTTACTAATTTCCGCATGTCTTTACTTTACAGACTGTAAGAAAGGAAGGGTCGTCCCCAAAGCCAAGGCGTACAAACATGTGTAAACCAACAAGATGGAGTGTAGGTGTTCTTGTCACATATTGTTCCAATGAAAATTTCATCATCACTTGATTATTTTTATTTTTTATTTTATTGCATATATTCATAAAGGAACGTGTCAAGAATAAGGAACAATGCACCTCCTAAACTGCCGGGGAATGTAGTACTCGACAAGAATCCACTTTCGAGGATTTGTGTGGAATGACTTCAATACATGAAAGTGCACCGGTAAGAAAGGTTTAAAGTTTGCCTTTAGAAGATCTATTTGTTGATTTTCATTTTTAATAAATTTTTGCATAGGCATCGCAAATTTTTCTAACGAGATACAACTAGATTTGGCAACGCAAGAATCTGTTGCCAACGTAGAGACAGACAAGATTAACAAACCTACACCGCGAAAAGGGAAGGGGCTTTCGATATTACCCACTAGGCGAAGCGTAAGTACAATTGTCTAAACATACTTTATACTTCATTTGAAATGAAATTACTTTGTACGAAATATCCATTCTCAGAACTATGTACGAACTATTAATTTTTAGGTGAGAAATATTAGGACACACAATGCATCTCTTGAAGGACAGCAACAGTCTCTAGATAGTACTCCGAACCCGATAACGGTGGTGGTACAAATCCCTAAACTCAAGTCTTCTGTTTTATATGAAATGAACTTGGTAGTAAAGATTAATCTTTTGTTTTTCTTTTACAGCAGTCTCCGAAAGCCAAGGAAAAAATTCACGGCGAGCAGCTCGCATAAATGCAAACAAAACGAAGCGTGAGTGCTCTTATGTTATCTATAGTTCCTAAGCACCATATTGCATATCTACAATTTTCATTATCTATAAGGTGTAAACAACACAAATCTTGATTTTATTTACAGACACGTTATGGTATCAAGGTCATCAAATCAATCATTGATATCACCACTCAAGCAACAATGACTAAGGTAAGAAATTATTTGTGTTATGGGTAATTATGTTATGTTTACTTTAGCCATTAAAATTGCGTATTGACGCAGGAAAAAAACTTGGCTAGAAATAATGATAGCACCAACCTAAAACCGCCAACAATGTTTGAGCAGACTTAAATGTCTTGACCTGAACGGGTATCGGATGCTCCCAATTACGATGGTGTGTCTTCCTTCGAGCTTCCGGCGTATATTTGTCAACAACAATTAACACGGCTTGTTGAAGAGAATAGAGAATTCAACAAGCGGCATGGAATACGGAAGGGGGCAACGACAACTCGATCAACCAAACAAAATAAGTGTTGTGCATTTTCATATGTGTGTGATGTGGTGGGTACATGATTGTGAATTGAAATGAACAGCGTTGGATGCTGTTGGATTGTGTGGTCTGCATGTTTTTTGATTGTGTGTGGCTTCATTAAATAAGGTTAGTCTAGATATTCCAATATCAAAACTACTTACAACGTTTTTTGCATTTGTTCTATTTTGTAACGTTTTATTGATAGTAATGTAATATTACTATCTTAACAAAGAAGTACCAATGCCAAATCATTCGTCAACATCAATATTACTAATAGGAAATACGTAATGTTACTACCTAAACGGCAGTACCGATTCAAAATACAATAGATTCCGTTCACGGAGTTAGTACTGCTACAACTAATTCCAAATACAAAACGTTATACCTAGACGGTAGTACCAATTCAAACTACTAAACCGAACAAACATACAACCAACTTCGATAATCCATTTCACAGAATTCGCTGGCAGAAATTTTTAATGGCATACATACACATAGTATCACTAGCACAACACAACATACGACAACAATAAGTTTCAATTCCTTAACTTTTTGCTTCAAATTCATAATTTTGGCCTCTCGATCATTCATCTTCTTTAACAACCCAGGATAATAACCTTGGCTCGAGGACACATATGAAGATCTTCCCACAAAAAAAACTGCACCCGGAGCGTGTTCCTCTCTACACATAATCCACACGTGATACAATGAGTGTTCGTCTTATACTATATCGTATGCACCAATTCATAACATAAATTCTTACCTTCGATTTGATACAACAATTGAATCTCTTCCCAGGATTTTCGACCGTCCATGAAGTACGGAATATCGATTTCATTCCACAGTAGCATTCCACCTCGCCAGGTGCAAACGACGATGCTCTACCTTCGAACATCAACACATTTCGAAATGTATAATCGATACACATAAAGCAACACCCAGTAATCAATAACTTCGCCAAGATTGGAAGACTAATCACCCTACGAAATACAAGATTTTAGTAAAAGGAAAAAAAAAAACTCACCGGAACTACTATGAATGCTTCTCCATTCTCCACTCGTGTCGTGTCGACTAAAGAATCACATTGGAAGACAAATGATTTGATGTCCGTAGACGAAGGAAGCGGCGGTGAGCTGCCGCAGTGGATGAGATTGACGATTTACGGATCGATTGAGGAATTTAGGGTTCTTGAAAATCAATTGGGGGTGTGTTATGGATCTATTGGCTATGGTAAATTTGTTGTTTTTTGCAATTTAGCCCGATATTTGGTCCAATCGGGCCAAATTGCAAAAAAGAACAAATATTAGTTTCAATTTTTAATTTTTTAATTTCCGGCACGTCACTTGCCGACGACGACCACATCATCTGACATGTCAACACCGGCGAGTTATACGTCCACAACGGCCAATCCACGTCTGCATACGTGACCGACACGTGATATTTTCCGGCGCCGGAGGATATAAATAAGGCTAGAGAAAGAGTTACTGTCCTATTTTGAGAAATTGAAAAATACATGTCTAAAAACGATAATTTGACCCACATATATATTAGGCAATTTTTGCAATTTTCCCTAAAATCAATTATGTTAATTATATATAAATATGTATTTTTTAATTTCTTTGTATTATATATAATTTTATTTTTATAAATTAATATTATTTAAATATTTATTATTTAAAATTTTAAAGTATTTTTATTTTATTTATTTTTAATCAAATCATATTAATATAATACACAAATTAAACAGCTTAAAAAAATTTCTAAAAATTAAACACTTTTCTCCATAAATATTACAAAGAATACACATTATTTTTTATATTATCGACATAATTTCTCATATCTAATATTAAAAAAAAAAAAAACCAAACAAACACCTAAAATAATATTTTAAATCAATAACCTTGCGATCAGGTCTACCTCCGTACCACCAGTTTATCCTACGGAACTTTAACTTTAGCTTTATCATTCTATTATATATTTAAATATAGGTTGAACATTATGCTTTGTAAAGGGTAAAAAATTAAAAATCAAATAATGAGAATTAAACAAAATTAAAATAAAATCATATCATACCATACACACAATTTTTATATATTACCCGGTCCGGCTCTAAGTTTCGTATTTACTTTTTGCATGTCGATCTTTGAATATTAATTATTATATGAAAACGTAGTACAAATTAAAAGAAAATGACAAAAATACTTCTATTAGTGTCTTATAATACTATTATAATGACATTTGTGCAAAAAATTATACAAATATAAAAATATTTTTTTTAATATTAAGTACAATAATGCAAAATGTATTGTACATAAGATCCTTACAGCCGAATAGAGTATTATATAAATATTTTATTTTATTCAAACAGTAAATTAAATATATATCACAATAAAAAATTAATTAATAATTAGTACTAATCTTGAAATATCAAAATACAACCAAACAAAAATAATAGCAAACTCAATAAAAATCAAAATATATAAATATATAGATAGGTATGCAAGGGTGCATTTTCATTGATTGATAAATTATCTAGTGACATAAGAAGGAGATATGACATTTATATATTTATTTATTTATATAAATTAGGTTGGTGTATCGAACATGTGAAGCCAATAAATGTAGAAGAACATGAAATAGGATGGAAGGATATATAGGGTTTTATGGGTTTATTTCATTGTGTTTTTCACAATATCACTTCATAAAAATATTATATCAATTGTTCTTTTTTAATATATAAATTAAAAGTTATTAGGGTATGTTTCTTTAGCAAAGTTTTTTTTTTTTCCAAATTTTATTATTTGGATCTTTGTTTCTTGATAAAAAAAAATATTTTTTTATATCACAAAACATCTCATCAAACATTATTTACTTTTCTCTTTGTTCTTTTACATTTATTTTCATTTTCCCCTCAAAATCATTATAATTAATACTCCCTCCATCCCGGAACTAAATATTCATTTGCCTTTTGCACGTAGTTTTAGAAATATTAGTATTTCATTGAGATATTGAGATATAGTAAGAATAAAGTAGAAATGACTAAAATAACTTTATTTGTATGTGTGATATAAAGGTAATGACATTTGTGTAATATATTGTAAGTTGTAAGGATATTTGTAATGTTGGGTAGATAGTACAGTTACTAAAAAAAAATGGATACTTTGTTATGGAACAGACTAAAATGGAAAAATAGATATTTTGTTATGGAACGGACTAAAATGGAAAAATGGATACTTTGTTATGGAACGGACTAAAATGAAAAAATGGATACTTTGTTATGAAACGGACTAAAATGAAAAAAATAAATACTTTGTTATGGAACGGACTAAAATGAAAAAATGGATACTTTGTTATGGGAAGAGAGTATTTATTTTTCATTTAGATCTTCATAAGAAAAACTTTTTTTTTTTTTTTAAATCTAAAACCATTTAAAAAGTAAACGAATATACAAGCAATGTTTGTATAGCACGACAAATCTCGTTTTCTAGATATAACTTATTATTACTACAGGTTAATTTATCGCATCATGACAAAAAACCTCATACTAATCTACTATTACTTATGTAATAATAATAATAATAATAATAATAATAATAATAATAAGAGTATGTTAAATAAAACAATGAAATTACCTAACAATACTTCCTCCGTCCCATAATAAAGTATGTATTTCTTTTTTTTGTTTAGTAATTTTACTATCTACCTAATATTACAAATACCCTTACAACTTACAATATATTACACAAATATCATTACCTTTATATTACACATACTAATAAAATTATTTTAGTCATTTCTACTTTAGTCCTACTATATTTCAATATAATACTAATATTTCTAAAACTACGCATAAAAAGCAAATGAATATCTAATTGTGCAACGAATGGAATATTAAATATAATTATAATCTCTAAGAGTAAATATAGGTAAAAATATATGTAATTGTTAATTGAAGCCGGCCGGGTCGATCTGGATGGGTTTATACATATATATCGTTTCATCTGCCGGCTAAGGACTGCATGCGCTCAATTGTCTCCAATACTAATAATAATAATAATAAATAAATAAATAAAATAATAATAATAATAATAATAATAATAATAATAATAATGAAATTAAAGTCACGAGAAATGGTCATGGCAGCGGGCAGTGACCATTGCGTGTCACAACTTCTCTGAATCATTATTTATTTTCTCCAAAGTACAATCGGCTAATCAAATTAAACCTTAAATATGCATCAGTTAGAAATTCCTTGTGTTCATTCTTCTCATGATTCTTTATATGTTTGTGTTTTGTATTTTAAGTATAAAATCAAACAAATGCTCCTTTCGTAACGCCAAAATGTCTCCCTTTTTCTTTTTAATTAGTATATTAAAATATTATTATTTTATTAGTCAGTGAATATGTATAATATAATTTTAATATTTTTATTTTTATTTTTATATATACAATAAAAATATTTGTAACAGTAGAATCGGTAAAAATAAATACACAAAAAATCCAATTCGGTTAAAAAAAAAATCATACATGGGCTTAAATTTTAAGTCCAGATTAATTTGGTCCGGGCCAACATAGTCCGGTTTAGAGCCTATGTCAAATCTAAGCCTATTGAGCTTGGTTGGATTGATTTAAAAGATAAGTAGTAAAAAACAAAAGCCAAAAGTAGAAGACAATTCGATTTTGATGAATTATTGTAAAAATAGTATTTTGTAAAAAGATCTGTTTGGACGTTGTAGAGTTGAAATATTTTTAAATTGTTAAAATTATTCAAAAGGACATGTTAATATAATAGTAGCATTTTTCGATACAAATTTTATAATTTATTTTTAAATTTTATTAATTATATTTAAATATATTACATTAAAGTATGAAAAATATTTTTAAAAATTTGATTATTTATATTTTAAAATTTAAATTTAAAGTAATATATCACTTAAAAATAAAATTTCAATATAATATTAAATTATTTGTATTTTATTATTTATTTTAAAAATTTATAAACTATATTTAATAATTTTAGTATAATTAAAAAATTTTATATATCATATTTAAATTTGATATCTCAATTTTAAATTTTAATTCAAGTATCATATGTGAATTAAAAATAATACTAATATAATTATTTTTAAATATTTGTTAAAATATATATATAAATGATTTATTTTTATATTAGATTATAGTATTATATTTATTATTATTATTATTATTATTATTATTAAATATAAAATAATAATTTTAATTGAAAAATGTTTTTACTTATTTCATAAGTTAGCATCGCTGTGTTTCTGAAAAAAAAAATACTTTCAAAAAGCTGCTTTTACTTTTGAATATAAGTCAATGCAAACAGTTACAAAATATTTTTTTTTAAATAAAAGCCAAAAGCTTCGTCGACAAGTCAATCCAAACAGGATCTTAGACGGTGCCGGCCATCTTGATTTATTTAAAAAAAACAAAAACCAAATATTGTTTTTAATATGATATAATAAAGCTGAAGCAAATTATTATTATTATTATTATTTTGCTCAAAACAATACTTTTATTGGATTCGACACATAGTTTAAGGAATAATAATATTATATTAAAAATTTATATAAAATATATTGTAAAAGATTAAAATATTCTCGGGAGTGTATTTTTATAAAAAAGTAATTACATTGTGTAATGCGAAAAACTAAAGATAATTTTAGGTAACATTGATAGTTTTAGAAACAAGACTATTGTTTTGAAACGAACGGAAATGAAAAAATAAGATTATTTTTTTAAACAAAAAGAATATATTTTAGTAAAGTTAAAGTTGAATTGGTTGAGTATTTTCTCTTGTACCAAAAGTACAAGGTTCTATTCTCATTTTTTCATTATGTTTTAAAAAATATAAATTAAAGGGGTGTATTTAATTAGAATTTTAATGGATTTGTTTGAATTTTAAAAAGTCTGTAGATTTGAGTGAATTTATAAATTTTATAGAATTTATGCAGAATTTAATTGATTTTGTTTATAAATTTATATGAATTTTAATATATTTGATTGAATTATTTATTGATTTCCATATACTTTATTAGAGTTTATAAATTTGTGAATTAAATATTTTTTTTATTGATTTATATAATTTCAAATATATGTACACTTGTATGTATATAAAAAAATTTCA